GACACTAGTAAAAGGATCTTTCGTTACATTGTTAGTACTATTGATCATAAGATTCATTACAAGATACTTCAAGAATCAATCTTGATTGGTTACAGTGACTGTGACCGTGACTGTGATTGTGATTGTGAATGTGACTGGTGAGGAGATAAAGATAATCACAAAAGTACCTTGGGGTATATTTTCAATATTAGTTCTGGTGCAGTTTCTTAGTCTTCAAAGAAACAATCTGTTGTTGCTCTCTCTTCTACAGAACAGAGTATATTGCTTTGTTTACAGCTGGTTGTCAAGCTCTATGGCTGAGGTGGATGTTGAAAGAATTAAAGCCCTCATGAGAAGGAGTCAGTAATGTATTATGACAATAATTCAGCAATTGAACTTAACAAAAATCTAGTTTTTCTTGGAAAAAGCAAGCATATTAGGATCAAGTATCATTACATTTGGGATTTGATCAAAGAAGGAGAAGTAGTGGTCAAGTATTGCAGGACACTGTTGGGAATGTATTTAACACGCACAGCGGAAATAAAACAATTTTCAATTCCCAAACGAGGATCTACAATGTGTTTAGATAGAAACTATGANGACACTAGTAAAAGGATCTTTCGTTGCATTGTTAGTACTATTGATCATAAGATTCATTACAAGATACTTCAAGAATCAATCTTGATTGGTTACAGTGACTGTGACTGTGACTGTGACTGGTGAGGAGATAAAGATAATCACAAAAGTACCTTGGGGTATATTTTCAATATTGGTTCTGGTGCAGTTTCTTAGTCTTCAAAGAAACAATATGTTGTTGCTCTCTCGTCTACAGAATAGAGTATATTGCTTTGTTTACAGCTGGTTGTGAAGCTCTATGGCTGAGGTGGATGTTGAAAGAATTAAAGCCCTCATGAGAAGGAGTCAGTAATGTATTATGATAATAATTCAGCAATTGAACTTAGCAAAAATCTAGTTTTTCTTGGAAAAAGCAAGCATATTAGGATCAAGTATCATTACATTTGGGATTTGATCAAAGAAGAAGAAGTAGTGGTCAAGTATTGCAGGACACTGTTGGGAATTTACTTAACATGCACAGCGGAAATAAAACAATTTTCAATTCTTAAATGATGATCTGCAATGTGTTTAGATAGAAATTGTGATGAGAATGATACCTTTGATGAATTCCACAAACTCTTTTGCTTTTTTTTAAACTCCAATGATCACGATCTGCAATCCAAGTTGTCCAATTGTTCAGCCTCCAATGGTGATCCACACAGAGAACAAGAATGACGGCTAGGGTTTTCTTTTCTT